TTGAGTAGCTCGAAATTCGAAGTGTCACGATTTTAATGGACAGTGGTACCACATAGATATATATTACCGTTTTACAAAAACTTCTCTTATAAATGGGGATAACAGAGGATGCTAAGCAACAAAGATTACGTTTGCCAAATCTCGGATACGCTTGCAATTGCTACAATTGCAGATATAAAGACTAAAATAAGGCAAGCTTACAAAAAGATTTGAATGCAATAATTGTTACAGAGTTGATTAGCATATAGGGAAGCACAACACAAGAATCCGAGTAGTTACTATCCATGTAATGTGCTTCAAAAAGAAAACACGTGTTAAATAAGTGGACGTTTAAACATTGAAAAATCATAATAAATTTTTACAAATAAAAGGTAATTTTATAGCTTAAAAGAAATATTGCGAAGTATTTGTTATGAATGGACTGATATTCAAACTAAATAACCAACCAATCGATTCAAACCGATTTGTTTTGGTTTGGTTTGATTCGGTTTCAACAGTTATATTGGATCAATATGAGTTGGAATTTACTTTAACTGGTCAAGTCGATTTTAGTTTCGAGTTGAGCTCGAAATCAACACAATCTGAACCGAGCTCGAACCTATTTTTCGGGATAATGATATCCACTATTTAGCATCAGTAGTACTATAACACCACTCATGTATCGTTAAATGATACGCTCAATTAATTGTAGACAATTGTTGAGTCATTTAAATACCTATCATTTAGCACATATTTGCTTCCCATTTCTAAAAACTTATTTCTTTCTCAAACTCATTTTCAATCATATATTACCCTTTATTTGATGCAAATTAAAATTAGATTTTACTAGAAAAAAAAAAGGTTCATGAAATGTGTGGTTGAAAAATTGTAGACTCCATGAAAGGTGTAATAATTAAAATTAATTGTTGAAAAATTGTGGACTCCATGAAAGGTGTAATCAGAAAGAAACATGGGCTTAATAGGATCCACAATTTTTATCAACATTTCAATCACGAAGTTAACCAAACTTTATTGAAATCTACTAAAAAAAAAAAAGTTTTTATCCAAACCAAATAGGGGATTAATATCACTAAGTGCCGTCTAAATGATTGTCATTAACATCAATATTGTTAAATTACATTACTCCTTTTTTTCTCATCGCGTAAACATTTTTAGATGACATGATACTTTTGTACAATCAATAATCTCAATTCTCTAAGACACGTTGCATTAACTTTTACACTATGTTTGACACCCATT